ATGCCATGCTGAAGTATACGAAAATCGAGTTAGAATTATTGACAGAAATTGACATGCTACTCTTTTTCAAAAAAGGAATCAGAGGAGGAGTAGCCCAATGTAGTAAGAGACAAGCGGTAGCCAATAACAAATTTTTACCAAATTTTAATCCCTTAAAACCAGAAAGTTATATCATGTATTTGGACGCGACAAATTTATACGGAGCTGCAATGAGTGAACCATTTCCTTTTGGTGATTTTAAATGGATACCTGTAGATAGCTTTGATTTTTCTTCAGTAAAAGATGATGCTTTTAAAGGGTATGTATTAGAAGTAGATTTAGAATATCCAATCAACCTGCACCACAGCCACAACGATCTACCGTTTTGTCCTGAAAATATAATACCACCAACCGGTAAAAACCCGAAGTTGATACCAAACTTACATAATAAAGAAAAGTATATTATTCATTACAGAAACTTGAAGCAATGTCTTAAATATGGCTTAAAATTAACAAAAATTCATAGAATTTTAGAATTTTCTCAATCACCATGGTTAAAAAAGTATATCGATTTAAACACAATTCTTCGGAATGGGGCAAAAAATGACTTTGAAAGAGAGCTCTTTAAGCTACTTATCAACGCGATCTTCGGAAAGACCATGGAAAATGTGGAGAAGCGTAAAACAATTCATTTTTCTATCCATTGGGAAAACACTAGAGGTTCCATAGGTGCGAGGACACTAATAGCAAAACCCGAATTTAAGACATGTTCCATATTTAATGAAAATTTAGTTGCTATCCATTTAAGTAATGTTAAAGTATATTATGATAAGCCTATGTATGTTGGATTCTCAGTGTTGGATATTTCAAAAAACATAATATATGAATTTTTTTTTATGGTTACATTAAACAAAAGTATGGCGACTCTGCAAAGTTGTGTTATACTGATACCGATTCGTTAATTTTAGAAGTGTTAACGAGTAACTTTTATGAGGATATAAAACAAAATATTACACATTTTGATACTTCCAATTTTTCCAAAAATAATGAATATGCAATTCCTATAACAAAATCTGTTGTTGGGAAAATGAAAGATGAATTTGGTGGTATACCTATATCTGAATTTTATGGAAGTTGTGCCAAGGTATACTGTGTAAAATTGGGTAAACCGTTTAAGAAGATGACAGAAATAAAAAAAGCTAAAGGAATTTCAACAAATGTAGTTAAAAACCAACTACACTTAAATGATTATATTAACATAGTGCAAAATGGTGATACAGTATATAGGAAAATGTATGTCTTTGTATCATCACTACATACAATCTACACCGAACTTAGAAATAAAGTTGCCCTTTCAGCTAATGATGATAAGAGATATATCATACCACACGATGTTAACACTCTGGCGTGGGGTCACCTACTTACCACTCCCAAAGCAATGTCTGGAACACTGGATGGTTTAATAGATACCATGGTTGAACTAATTGATTTAGATAATTTTGTAAATATTTTATAATAAAAAATTTTATTTACTGATATTTTTTTATTTTTTCATTAAACTTAAAGGAGTAATCTTAGAGGAAATGGTGGTTTGAACACGTAATGGCATATGCGAATACCATCGAAAGCAGCAAGTTTCTTTACCAGAAATTTATTGTTTTCCAGTTTAAATCCCTGTATATCCACAACAAGCCTTCTCATAGTTTTAATTTTTGAAATTGTTTGATAATATTTTTCAGTTGTTTATAGAAATCGATATCTTGTTGAAGTTTCCTTAAATCACGCAAATGACTATCAAGTCTTTGTTCAAAGGTCATATTGAATGAATTACATATTTGTGGTGGGGTTTTATAGTTATATTTACGCATGCGCATTATTGCTGTTTAACAATCTTGGTTGTTGGATTATATGAAAATTGTTTCTCATGAAGAATAAGACAATATGCTGAAATATCTGCCGATGTTGGTTCATTCGTTTCAAATTCAATTCTTAATACAATACTACCAGCCTGTAAAACTTCTTTTTGTCTTGAACAGTCGATATGAATTAATGGCGCATTATTTTTAAAATCGATGGGGTTATATATTGGTTGATTCAGATGAAGATCATAATAGCTTTCTTGAAAATTTGCAAACATTTCGTATGTGGTAAATTTATTATTATCAACATCCAAGTTTAAATCATTATATGGATATCTTTCCGAATTTAAAAATACTCTGATATTGTTAAGTTTGCAATGATCGAACTTACTCATGTCGCTTAATATTTGACTTTTTCTATTTTTTTGAAAACCTATAATTACATATCTCGGTGTCTCTACCTTTGAACTTGTTTTTACTACCCATGTATTTAATTTTGAAGAACTTAGCGATGGATATTGTATCATTTGCCAAGATCGAAATTTAATTGGTAATTCTTTATTGTTTTTACTAATATTAGTTAGTCGAAGTTGTTGACTTAAGCTAGGTTTTATGTGTGGTACTGACCAATATAATCGATTTAATTCAATTTTTGGATTTTCAGTTTTATCGGGACTTGTTACACTATCGATGTCATCACTTTTAGATGTGAACTCCGTTGTTGGTGCTTAACCATTGTGTTATTTATATACTAAGACCCCACTATATATACCCTTAGTCTTCAATAGAATTCATTAACATGAGGGTTGAAAAACAACACATCACTCTACCAGTCAGAAATCACGATTTAGTTGTTAATGATCAGAAACTTAATAAGCATGGATATTTGTTTGGTGGTGATTCTAAAAGATGTTTAGTTGTAGGCCCTAGCGGCTCTGGGAAGACAAATTGTATGCTTTCATTAATTGAACACCATAATGGATTAAGATTTGAAAATATATATGTGTATTCCAAAAGTCTTCATCAGCCCGAATATAAATACCTCAAAAATTTAGTTCAACCCATTAAAGAAATCGGTTATGAAGAGTTTAATGAACCTACAAATATACCTCAACCTAATGAAATTAAAGAAAATTCGTTAATTATATTTGATGATGTTGCTTCTTGTGATCAAAAAACATACAGATTGTTTTTATATTTGTCAGACATATAGCGCAATTCCCAAACAGCTTATCAGAGATAATTCAAGCCTTTTTATAGTGTTTCCACAAGATATGACTAATTTAAAACACATTTACAATGATCATGTTAATATAGATATGTCTTTTA